TCACATTTCAATGAAACTTGGTACATTGTGCAGACCTTTAGTTTTACACTTAAATCTGTTCATATTAGTTACCTTATTTGCATAATTAGTTTTCAGCTATTCCATCAATATCTCAAGTATAAGTAATTTTGAATTAATTTTTAATGTGTCTCCAAAACTCTCAGCACACGGGAGTTCTTTCTAAGCTTTCTTTGATTTTGAATTTAATTGTTTACACTGATTTTGATCAAATGATTCAAAATATTTGATCAACAGTTTAGCCTACTCATAATAAAAACACAATGTTAAGAAAAAATGTATTTTTTGACACTTTTTAAAACCCAAATTTTTGAAATCATTAAGGACAACAAAAGGTAGCCCATCGTTCACAATATATGATATTTTTCAGCTATGTCACCAGCCTACAATTTGAGATATGGCATAATATCTGTGCCTTAGGAACCCATTGTAAAGGCATAATAATACTGACAAAATGTCCACTACCTACTAAAATCATTTTTCAAAAATTAGGTTTGTGACCCCCCAACTTTTTTAAAGTCAATATTCTTATATTGCCATTCATTACAAAATGAACAATTTCTGGGTATTTGCTTTTGTGAGTAAGGCTTTCACCTTAAACAAATTTGTGAATTGGGACTGATAATGATGGAAGTATGAATATTTTATGAACAGAACTTAGAATTTTATTTCCTTTGTGAGAAATTAAATATCAAGAGCAATCAAAAGAATAAAAAATAATTCTTCTTCTTCTACTTTTTCCACAGAATCCTGGCAAGGTGACATTTCTTCATTTTAGTGGATTAATGAAATACTTCAAACCTAGGCATAAAAAGAGAGATGTCTATCTATCATTTAAAGCATTGAATGTCAATGAAACTGGACTCTTAACTTTAGGGGAATTTTGTAATATTTATGAAATTACCTCGCTGAAATGGAGCCACTATAAAGGCAATACCCATTGGTTTGATTCTTTGCCGTTTGTATTAAATATGATTATGAGGGGTATACATAAATTGGTTGTGTCAGCGTTATTTAATTATTTTATATGTAAGTATATAGAAACATTATCATTGATATTTTGACTAGTCTTTTAATGTGATTGCACCACCTGCCCATAGTGACCACCTTTATATAAAGACCACCTGCCCATAGTGACCACCTTTATATAAAGACCACCTGCCCATAGTGACCACCTTTATATAAAGACCACCTGCCCATAGTGACCACCCTTATATAAAGACCACCTGCCCATAGTGACCACCTTATATAAAGACCACCTGCCCAAAGTGACCACCTTTATATAAAGACAACCTGCCCATAGTGACCACCCTTATATAAAGACCAGCTGCCCGTAGTGACCACCTTTATATAAAGACCACTTGCCCATAGTGACCACCTTTATATAAAGACTACCTGCCCATAGTGACCACCTTTATATAAAGACCACCTGCCCATAGTGACCACCTTTATATAAAGACCACCTGCCCATAGTGACCACCTTTATATAAAGACCACCTGCCCATAGCTGGTATAAACAGGTTTGACTGTAATTTGGGTGGTCGCTCGCTACACACAGGTTTGAATTTATTTTCAGTGGTTGCTATGCACAGGTTTGACTGTTCTCTGAGTTGTTGCTATACACATGTTTGATTACTTTGGATGGCCATTATAAACAGGTTTGACTGTAATTTGGGTGATTGCTATACACAGGCTTTACTGTACTTTGGGTGGTCGCTATACACAGGCTTTACTGTACTTTGGGTGGTCGCGATACACAGGCTTTACTGTACTTTGGGTGGTCGCTATACACAGGCTTTACTTTGGGTGGTCGCTATACAAGGCTTTACTGTACTTTGGGTGGTCGCTATACACAGGCTTTACTTTGGGTGGTCGCTATACACAGGCGTTACTGTTCTTTGGGTGGTCGCTATACACAGGCTTTACTATACTTTGGGTGGTCGCTATACACAGGCTTTACTGTACTTTGGGTGGTCGCTATACACAGGTTTACTGTACTTTGGGTGGTCGCTATACACAGGCTTTACTGTACTTTGGGTGGTCGCTATACACAGGCTTTACTTTGGGTGGTCGCTATACACAGGCGTTACTGTTCTTTGGGTGGTCGCTATACACAGGCTTTACTATACTTTGGGTGGTCGCTATACACAGACTTTACTGTACTTTGGGTGGTCGCTATACACAGGCTTTACTGTACTTTGGGTGGTCGCTATACACAGGCTTTACTTTGGGTGGTCGCTATACACAGGCGTTACTGTTCTTTGGGTGGTCGCTATACACAGGCTTTACTATACTTTGGGTGGTCGCTATACACAGGCTTTACTGTACTTGGGTGATCGCTATACACAGACTTTACTGTACTTTGGGTGGTCGCTATACACAGGCTTTACTGTACTTTGGGTGGTCGCTATACACAGGCTTTACTGTACTTTGGGTGGTCGCTATACACAGGCTTTTCTTTGGGTGGTCGCTATAAACAGGTTTGACTGTACTTTGGGTGGTCGCTATACATGGGTTTAACTATTTCATAGCTAAACAATTTTTAATGTTATCATAATCCTGTTTGAATAATGGGCAATCTTGAATAGTAAGTTATTTATATGTTTATGTTATGGTAAGGTGTTGTTTTTTCCATCGTTCATGAGAGGTGAGATCTTCCTCTCATTAAAGCCTGAATTAATTAGTGATAAACTATTGTTCCAAAACGGAAAGAAAATAGGACATGTGACACTTTTGGAGTACCTGTCAGATTTTTAAAAGCTGATAAATTATGAAAATGTAGTTTTTATGACTCGTACTTTATGTGCACAAATTGCAAAGGGCATTCATTTATTTCTGTTGTGACATGGGTGAAATTTGATTTCATATTACCCCTGTTATTTTTTTTTTTTTGCAACAAGTAGTCATATGCATTAATAATTAAATTACATGTAAAAGACTAAGTATGATTTGTGAATAATAGAATAAAAAATTTGCATAAATTTGATCATGTGAATTTTCGGATTGATGTCTACAGAATCAGAAAAATCAAAATTATTTGTGTAATTTTACAATATCTGGTAATTTATATTTCCCTTAGTTTATAAAGGAGAGAGTAATAGAGATATTATAGTTGTCCATATTTGTATCAACAATACACCAAATACTACAAATTTGTCTTGATTTGCATTGTTTGCATCTTTCATCTAAAGCAATGTAATGTTTTCTTCCTGCAGATATTGTGATTGCTGCCAATGGCATCTGGTTTTTAGTTGACACCGTCACACTCTCAAGTGAGTTTTTATTCCTTCAATATTTCTGTCATTTTCGTCAAAACACAATCACTTACAATGTTTTATATCCCCCTCGTGTAATAATCATGAAAGCTCTTACAATGCTTGTTTTACATTTTAAAAATTGGTGATCATCTGAGTAAAAAAATCATGCAGTGAAATCAACACCACGCATTGTACTACATTTTGCCCAATGCATTTACTTTCACAATGTGTTCTTTGCAATTGACAATATTCAAAAGATGTTGGGGGTCTTTCAGCAGCACCACCCGGTATTCTGATTAGTTTAATGACATTCTTGATCTATCAGATTAAAGGACACCATGTTTTGTCAACGTATGTCCAAGAAATCTGTGTTTACATTTATTTCATAGCAAACCAAAAAAAACAAACAATCAAATGGTTGAACAGCTATTTGCTGTGTAGCAATTAATCAATGCAAGTAGAAAGGAATGGCTCAAGTAACTGCAAAATTATCCTCAATAAAATAATTTTAATTAGTTTGATCCTGTTTCGACTGAAAACAGGGATCGCCATACTTTGGCCAATCGCATTCAAACTTCACACACATATCATATATTTTGGGATACATATGTATGTCCATGTAATGTTAAAAATTAATCAAAATCAAGCAGTTCTGAAATTCCGGACCCAGATCTTGGCCTTTAAATTATTAGCAGATTCAAGATATTTTGGGCACAGTCCCTCTGGGACTGTGTTTTGGGATAAATATGCATGTCCATTTGTTCTATGATCGGATTTAAGACAGCTGAATAGCAGTTCTGGCATTTCAAACCCAGATCTTGTTCATACATGTGCAGCTATTGTTCATCTTTGTACTTACATTAAACGTTTATATAACAGAATCATAATGTTTCAGATTCAAAATGACCAAATGCAAATGCTTTTCTACGTTGATTGAACACAATCCAACTTTACAACTACACTACATATCATGTCATTTCTATTTCATGTTCTGATTCAAAATGGCTTACTCATTTCAGTTTTGTTTATGCATGGTTGAACCAACAGGGACTTTGCATGTCATTGAGCATCTATGTGCTTCTTAATATATGCAAGCGAGTCCCTGTTTATAGAACCTAATGAAATGATTTATGGTTCAGTGAAATGATAAACCTATTCTAGATTTAACTTGAAGCATATCTCTTACTTTTCATAATTTTTTGGCAGATCAGCGAGCTAAATTTGAGTTTCATGAAGAATTTGCTCTCACCTGGTACAGCATCATGTTTGTCTCAAGTAAGCTTCATTTTTTTGACAATCAACTAATTGTAATTCATTTATAATTTATTCACAAACCACACAAACTGTTTTATACCTTTGTCAAACATCAGAATTTGTCTAGAACTGTATTTAAGTTGAAACATTGTAACTGTTTCTAATATGCTCATTATTTGGTATTTTCATTGTAATGGTTCTTTATCTACTAAATACACTTATTGCTTGTTGAGTAATATTAGCCGTCTTTCATCTCATGATGATGCATGTTTGTTTGTCAACAGTCTACGTTGTAGAGACTATCTTGAAAATACTTGCCCTAGGACCAAAGGAATACTTCAATTATGGCTGGAATATGTGAGTAAAATTAATTAATTACATTTATACACTTAGAAGGTGGTTTTATGGTTACTAAGAACAATTGAAAGTGTCACTACAAGCATGACATCGTATGGTTCCTGAAAACCATTGAAAGTGTCACTACAAGCATGACATCGTATGGTTCCTGAAAACCATTGAAAGTGTCACTACAAGCATGACATCGTATGGTTCCTGAAAACCATTGAAAGTGTCACTACAAGCATGACATCGTATGGTTCCTGAAAACCATTGAAAGTGTCACTACAGGCATGACATCGTATGGTTCCTGAAAACCATTGAAAGTGTCACTACAAGCATGACATTGTATGGTTCCTGAAAACCATTGAAAGTGTCACTACAAGCATGACATCGTATGGTTCCTGAAAACCATTGAAAGTGTCACTACAGGCATGACATCGTATGGTTCCTAAAAACCATTGAAAGTGTCACTACAAGCATGACATCGTATGGTTCCTGAAAACCATTGAAAGTGTCACTACAAGCATGACATCGTATGGTTCCTGAAAACCATTGAAAGTGTCACTACAAGCATGACATCGTATGGTTCCTGAAAACCATTGAAAGTGTCACTACAAGCATGACATCGTATGGTTCCTGAAAACCATTGAAAGTGTCACTACAGGCATGACATCGTATGGTTGATATTACTGTTCAAGGTTTGTGGAGTTGACGCACTACATGACACACTATGCAGAAAAATTAAAACCTGAACTGCTAAATAGATAAAACATGTGAAAACTTTTGCACATTCATTTTGAACCCACCCACATTTGGGAAACCGTATTGGTCAACCTTAACAGCAGTCTGCTAGGATAGAACTTGTTGATGAGCAACATTCTTAAATTTGGCCATATATTTAACCTTTTGAGAGTGATATTGTCATTACAAGTTGTTATCAAAGTGCAGGCGGGGGATAAATACTGGTTATCTGCATTCGTCTGTATGTGCGTACAAAGTCATGTTAGGAACACTGTGCAAAATTCATAAATGTCATATCTGGAACACTACTGCAGATAGAAACATTCAACCAGTGCTTTTTTGAAGACTTTGCACACAGGATCTGGTCAACATACTAAATAACCATATATGGTCATGTGGTGTCATTAAAAATGCATAAATATAATATTTAGAACACTATTGTAGATAGAACCATTCAACCAGTGCTTTTTTGAAGACATTGCACACTGGATCTAGTCAACATACTAACTAACCATATATGGTCATTTGGTGTCATTAAAAATGCATAAATATAATATTTAGAACACTATTGCAGATAGAGACATTCAACCAGTGAACATTAAATCTAATCAACATATTTATTAACTTTATGTTATCATGTGACTTCATTAAAAATACATAACTATTATGGAACACTATTGGAGATATAGATATTCAACTAGACCGTGTAAAAGATGCTGGAGGATCTGCCAAATCTGAAGGTTTCCTTGTTATTTCACATCTTATAAGTTCAAGACCTGGGTTACATGCACCTAAGATGTAAATCATAAAATAATGAATCCAGAAACACTTTTTAAAAAAAAAAATTTCTGCAATGTATTAGGTAATATGATTGGTAAATTTCTTTTTACAATACAAAAAATCACAAATAAGCATAATCAGCAATTCACACTTCCCGGTACTGTATGCAACTATCTACTCCTACTTGCTGATAATTTTAATTATTGAATCAGATCTTTCTGGTGAAACCTAGTAGTAACTTGCTGTGATAATCACAACATGCACCACTTGCAGGTCAACTGTAGTATTTGATTCTATTGTACAATGGTCTCTATGTTCACTGCTTGCATGGATTTTGTAAATGACACTCAGTGATGTCAGCAGATGTTTTTGAGATTAAATCATTATAATTTCAATGAAAAGGAAATATTGCTTTTTAATCCATGGAGGTTGACCTGCCGGCTTTGAAGTAACAACATAAAATTATGCTCTCAATCAGAAAGTTAAAAATCAATTATTCAATTATGTCATGCTTCTCTATCTCTGTCCCAAAAGAATTATTCTTTTTTTCAACATGATCACGTCAAGCTCTAGAAATATAAATTATTCACTCAATGTTTGTAAATTATGGATGTAGTATTTTATTATCATGACTACAACTACTGTGATTGTGATGTCTGTCTGTCTGTATCATTCCAGAATAATATATATTTACTATTAAAACATATAGAGTAGAATAGAAAAGAAATAAAATAAAATTATGTAATAAAATAAAAAAAGAGAATATTGCTTGATTTATTACTACCGTAAAAAAGTTGACAATTGTTTATTTTGAAATACAAAGCGTAATAGTGAGATAAAGTACTAGTATACACACAAATTAAAACATTGTAACTATTGTTCTCCTCTTTTATTGTATATATCTAGATGTATTTAATTGATATAATATGATGTATTTAATAATTTATTTGATCAGATATTTGTCAAAATTATAGTTTACAAAATATCAAGTGTTATAAACAAATTGTAAACAATGCTAATCAGGTATTCTCTTTTTTGATGAGTTTCGGTGTAATTAATAACATCACTGATTAGATTGTGTGAAAGATGTGTTATAGCGCCACCTATAGGCTTAAATCAGTATGAACTGATGATGTCGTTGATTACAAGAAATCCAGAAAAATTGCAAGGTTTTAATAGTAATTCAAATTGAAGTTAACTTGTTTTTCTGTAATTTTCAGTTGTCAAATTTTTAGCACTGAATCCTGAAAAAAATATTTTATTGTTGAATTATTGACAAGACTGGGGTTAAATAACAATCTTTGATTGTATGAATGCCTATATAAACAAAGGTGTCATGTTCATATAGAACATTGGTTTCAACAGTCTTTAATAGAGTTAGGGACAACATCAAAAGTTTATTGTAGGTTAAAAAACTTAATTCTTTTGGTTTCCCCCCTCTCCTACCCCCCCCCCCCCCACTGAAACATAATTGATAAATATTGATCATGGCATCAGACTACATTCACCATTAAATACAAATTGATAAACGGACAGTAGTATGGCATAACAGTTGGTTGTCTAAATCCATGCCCTGAAATTGACCCACGTATTTACACTCGGACTAAACCATTTTCTCGTCTTGGATGTGTTTTTTTTCATTTTCTGTTATTTTTGCCCATGATTGGATAGGAAAAAAACGAACTACAAATACTCCAAGATTTTTTTGACTTCATTAAAAAATAAAATTGTGTAGGATGTAAACTTTTTGAGGTCAAAACCCCCCACCCCCAAACTCAAGCAAATAAGTTTTTTATCCGACATCGATCTTTTGACGTCGTCCTTTAGCTAATTGTACATGTAGAGTTAAAAAAATGAGATGAAATTATAAAGTCTCTGAAAAAGTTTTGTCAACATAAGTACCAACATTAATAGTTCTTAGTAAGATGACTTGGACAAAAATAAAAACTAAACTGATTATATACTGCCACATAGTGGTTACCTGCATCCACATGTACATGTATATGTATCCTTCATTCTTACATATGTATGTTCACCCTAGCCCTGCGTACAGTGCTGTGTGTACGGGGACGCGTTCGGTTGAATAGATGTCCCCACCACAGCCCTGCGTACCTCCATAGACAAAGTCTGGGAGCGCACTGGAGTTGGTGCGCAAGTTAAAAATAAGTAGTTTCCCAGCCGAAATTGGTTGAAATGTTGATATAGTTATCTCTAGCAAACATTAAATATCTAAAACTGAAATGTTTAAAAACAATGACTAGTAAAGACAGAAAAATTGTAAACACGTAGGTGCCGAGTAATCATCCACCAAACGCCGCCTTTTTTAATTTAATTCATGCGAAAGATTTGTTTATTTTTAGGGCAAAGTAATCGATTTCATCCACAATTGGACTCCAAACTGGGAGTGCTGGATATATGTGTTAATCGATCATCGTTTTTGGTACCTGGGCATGCTATTTTATTAAAAAAGTTATATTTTTCAAAGTCCCGGACTTTGTCTATGGAGGTACGCAGGGCTGTGGTGGGGGACATCTATCAACCGAACGTGTCCCCATACACACAGCACTGTACGCAGGGCTATGTCCACCTGTTCATACACAATTCTATGCAAATTTAACATTCAGGATTTTGAAACTTGGTGTGTGTTGATAATGTTCATACTGTTTGTGTAAATACAAGATGTGAGTTGCATGCTTATTTGCATATTTTGTCCAAATTTGAATCCAACATTCATGATCTTGAAACTTGGTATTCATGATAGTTTAAGTGTTCTAGTGACGATAAATTGAATGCTAATTTCCTTACCCTAACCCTACCTACATGTACTGTCCAATTGAGATGTGTACTCCTGTTAGCTACCAGGGTATATCCAGTTACACTTGCTGATACTCCATGGTCCTCTAATCTAAAAAGTGACTACTCACTCATTGTGAGAAAATGCTAGGGGTTCTTCCATCATACATGCATTATAAGGTATCAAACAAAATGGTAAAAACAAATTTGGACATATGTGTAAATATTATAAAAAAAACTTAATTGCAATGTTAGATGTCTTTACTTACCTTGCTAACTTGTGAGACATGTAAACCACTAACAATAAATTTAATTGCTATGCAACAGGTAGTACCAGGTGACAAAATGAAAATTTCACATTATTTCCATGGTTACATATTGCATGTGGCATTCATTTTGAATTGAAAAATTTTGAATAATTAGGTAAATGATCAAGTGGCAAAATGAAAGGGTTTTACCAAGTGGTTTCCATTGTTACATCTCTTGGTGGCAGCCATTTTGAATTGAAAAGAACTAGACTAATTAGGCTTGTGAGTAATACCGGTATGTGTCAAGAATGTATTTTTAAATAGACCAAAATTAGTTATATTTGATATTATCATGCAAAATGTTTCTTTGGTTGAGTTGTGCAAATATTCATCACTGAATTCATTCACCATGAATCAATAAATCAATCAAAATGTATGATTGAAAAAGTCTGAGTAGCTA